TTTTTTTTTTTTTGTAGAGAAAAAAAATTGTGTTGTAGTCCTCCCTCCTTGGCCCTCCAAAGCATTTGGATTACAGGCGTGAGCCACCTCGCCTGTCTAGAAGTGATGATTAAGCAGAGACCTACAAGAATGGGTGATGGAGTCCTGGTGTGGTAGCTCACACCTGTAATCCCAACACTTTGGGAGGCTGAGGTAGGCAGATCTCTTGAGACCAGGAGTTTGAGACCAGCCTGTTCAACATGATGAAACCCTGTCTCTACTAAAAATACAAAAATTAGCTGGTCATGATAGCTTATGCCTGTAATCTCAGCTATTGGGATGCCAAGGCAGGAGAATCGCTTGAACCCGGGAGACAGAGGTTGCAGTGAGCCAACATTGTGCCATTGCACTCCAGCCTGGGTGACAGTGGGAGACTCCTTCTCAAAAACAAGGAAAAAATGGGTGATGGAGCAATTAGAGGAGATCAGGGTGGGGAGGAGATGGAGGAGCTGGCAGGTGCTCCTTCTGGAAGACACCCATTTTCCCAAGGCCATGAGAGATCCCCTTAGGAAGGCTTTGTGTAGAAGAACGTGGTTCAGTTTGGTTTTTTTTTTTTCATTCCTTTTTCAATTTTTTTTTTTTTCAAAATGGGGTTTCACCATGTTGGTCAGGCTGGTCTTGAACTCCCGACCTCAGGTGATCCACCCGCCTTGGCCCCCAAAGTGCCTGGATTACAGGCGTGAGCCACCATGCCCAGCCTGGTTTTGCTTTTTTTTTTTGAGGCATAGTTTCACTCTTGTTGCCCAGGCTGGAGTGCAAAGGTGCAATCTCAGCTCACCGCAACCTCTGCCTCCTGGGTTCAAGTGATTCTTCTGCCTCAGCCTCCCTAGTAGCTGAGACTAAAGGCATATGCCATTGTGCCTGGCTAATTTTGTATTTTTAGTAGAGATGGGGTTTTTCCATGTTGGTCAGGCTGGTCTCAAACTCCCAACCTCAGGTGATCTACCCACCTTGGCCTCCCAAAGTGCTGGGATTACAGGTGTGAGTCACCACACCTGGCTGACGTGGTTTAGTTTGTAGGTGTGAACAGTTCACCATACAGAATGGGTTGGAAGGGTGCTGGAGAGGATGCTGGGAGTTGAACCCCAATTGCTTCCCTGTGGGCTGGGGGGAGGCATGGGGACAGCAGAGAGCAGGGAAGTTACAACTGGTCCCAGTCCTGGGTTTTCTTTCTCTTTCTGTTTCAGACATGTCCTTCGATAACTCCCTGTTTACCATCTCCCCGGTGAGTGGTTCTTTTTCTTGGAAGCAGTTTTCTGCTGACCATCCTACCTGGAGGATGGGACGGGCTCAGGGGGCACCAGGAGGCTAAGTTGACCTGCCATCTCTGAGTTGTGGGGGGCTAGGAAAAGCCCAGAATCACTGAACAGGAACTCATTAGTGAGCCAAGAGTTAGCTCTGAAAAATCCCTAGGGGTGTGGGCATTGAAGGTGGCAACCAGCCGGGCGCGGTGGCTCACGCCTGTCATCCCAGCACTTTGGGAGGCCGAGGCGGGTGGATCACGAGGTCAAGAGATCGAGACCATCCTGGTCAACATGGTGAAACCCCGTCTCTACTAAAAATACAAAAAATTAGCCGG